TTAAAATTAATTTAAATATGATACACATTCTAAGATTGTAAATAAGTTGAGTTGAGCTTGATTATTGTTGATTTTGGTTCGACTTAAAATTTTTAAAATCTCGATTTGAAAGTCGCTCGAACTTGAAATCAAAAATTAAACCTCGACTTGAAAACTCGCGAGCTTAAAACTTTAAAGCCAAAGAAATCAAAATTTGGAGTTTGACTTAAGCTCAAAAAAACTTAAACTCGATATATTATCAAATTTAGCTAAATTGAATCTCAAACTCGAGTTCTAACCTGAACTTTGAGTAGATAAGAGCATAATATTGTTTCTTTTAAAGTAACATATAAATGCTAATGTTATTAATAATTTAAATTAAAAATTAATATTTTTTTTCCGAATTGCTCATGAGCTTTTTATATTAATTATCAAACAATTTGTTTCGACTCATTAAGAATTTAAATCGAGTTCGAGATCGAATCAAATTCATTTGATTTGAATATTAACTCATCTTTAAACAAATTAAAGTTGAACAACTCGTAATTTATCTCGTCTTATTTCCAATGATGAAGGGCGAGTCCAAGGGAACAGGGAGGGGCTTATATCACCGACTATCATAAGAGAAAACCTATTAATGCTTTGAAATTTCTTCTTTTAATGGACTTTTTCGGCCCATAATTTTCTGTATTCTTCTAGTCCAAGGTTTAAACTTTAAACCAAACATTCCACGACAACGTCAGCAGTCTGCTTTAATTCACTTATATGGATAGGTTGATATAGTTGTATCATCTTTAAAACTAATTTAATATGAACTAATTGAGTGGCTTAATAGTTAAAGAAGTATTGTTTTCATTTGAGGTCTTGGGTTCAAACGACTCTTTTTATAAGGTGTGTGCGTATTATCAATAATTTAAAAATGAATATTATTTTATAATCATCTTAGACTATTAAAAAAATAATATGATGTAATAACAAATAAACATTTTAATCTCACAAATTACATTAATTCACCGTCATGTATCATTAATATATATCATTTGACGCAAGTGGCTTCTCTTGCAGGTTATAGAATCAAATTTTAGACCATAAATTCATTTTTATGTAAATATGTGTATTTGGATTTAAGTGTTCATTCCACTTTTAACTTACAAGGTGCCTTTTGTAGACAACCGTGAGATCCAATGGGCCTAAGTGAAAATACATTACAAATAAGTGTGGATAGAACCATTTGGTTTCAAGACCGAATCTTGGAGTATTAGCAACGACTATGTTGGAGTGGGAAGGATGTTTTAGTGGATGAATTTCTCAACAGTGACTTTGGTGGATGAATTCGGATTTGTCCGTATCGTATATCTGGTTTTGGTGGATGAATCTCTCAACAGTGATTTTATGCATGCACAAGACCTCAAACTTGAGACATAAACGATATCAAATTGTTTATCACTTAAATTCACGCAGTAGGAGTGGAGAGAATGTCATGGTCCCAAAGAAAAACTATGAGTCCAGCATAGAGGTGTAGTTTAAGGAACAACAAATTTGACAATATATGTATACGCATCTAGCTTGTAAAAGCAATACAAATTTCAGCTGATTTGGTAGGGATTCATGATGGAGAAGAATATAGCGTAAAGAATCATTTGCTCGGTCTTGTGCTTTCAGTTCAATGCTCACAATGACAATATTCTGCGGCTCATATCAACTTAAAGAAGCCATTGATGAACCAATTTCCTAGCTGTTGACAAAATCAATTGTTAATCGATTCCTTTTAAGAAAACCAAAAGTGAAACGACTAGCAAATTATGCGAATATCTTCTTCATGAGACGTGGACAAGTTATGTTCACGTTTCTTCGGGCATAACTGGCTTGGAACCGAACCTAGGATGTGCGGATTTTGTCAATGAAAGTACTCATCATTCCTTGCTTAAGGGTGAAACACGGGGGGACCTTACGCTCCTTATTTTTGTTATACTCTTTTGAATCTTCTCCGCTCCACAAACTAAGACCTCTGAATAACTCCTCTGTAAGAAAGCAATCACGGAGGAATATCTTTGAATATTAAACATTGGAGGCATGGAGTCTTACATTCCTCGGAAAACGACAACTCTTTGCCATGACCACTTACAAACCTCACATGATCTATCAGAATTGATTTACAACTGATCATATCAAGCATGCTTACCATTCATTTAACCTACAAATAGGAATCATGATCCTAACCCTGACACTTTCAATAAAATGCAGTATTTAAGTCACAGAGTATGGCTCAAGAAAGGAGGCTCTTGGAAGAAGAAGAAAAAACACTATCATTCTTCGAGACCTTTCTTCATTTCTTCATTGACAACATCATCAACCGACAACCACCCGAACACTGACTAAGAATATCCACCTAAACAAGAAGAAATGAATCGTCTATAACTGTCGTAATCATCTATGTTCCATTAACAATTTTACTCTAAATATTTTTGTTCAATACTTGTATCTTAGATATATTCGGGCATAGGTAAAAGATTTAACCTTATAAAAATCTTAACAAGAAATCATCATATATTAAACATGTATCGGATATCCGATACTCGTATCCGGAATCCAATGACAGTTGCCAAATAAAAATATATAATCAATGTCCCTTGTAAAGGTGGGGGATGCGATGGAAGTGGGGGCCTTTGAATTAGGTCATTTTCTTGATCGATTCAGGAACCTGAGATGGATGGAATAGAGACGTTGGATTTGAGTATCTGGCTTTAAGCATTGTATCTATTGATGACTTTGATGAAAAAGAAAAACAACATCACATCTTGTCCAAAGGTAGTGGTTCCAAAAGAACAATGGAGATTTTCATTCATGATTCTTGTGGGCTTGAAATGTTTCAAATTGCCGTCAAAATAGCCTTCTTTCTGGGTCATAAAAGAACAATTGTTTTCAATTCAATGTTTAAGGATGTTTTGTTACTTAAATCCGAAAGAATGTCTCTATTTGTCTGTAGTTAGTTGCTATGAGTTAACAGTTAAAGGAAAGAAATGAAAACCGATTCAAATCTTTGTGTCAATTTGAAATCATAACTTAAGAATAGGAAAAAATGCATATAAAAGTTAGACTCTAAATTCAAAAGATGTTATTTTAAAAAAGGCTTAAAGTTAAAAAGTCCCTAAATTATGTTCTTTTTTGCTTTAAGCCCCCAAACTGTTTTTTTTTAGTTTTTAGACTATTATGCATAATCACTTTAGTATCCACCATTTTTTCACTTATAATTTTTTTGGACAAATCAAATGTGACATGCCACACAAAATTAAATACTTATTTTGATTAAAAAAATATTTGAGGGCTTAAAGCAAAAAAGAAACATAGTTTAAGGACTTATTTTGACAAATAAATAATTTAGATACATAAAATGATTATTTATAATAGTTTAAAGACATATTTTGATAAAAAAAATAGTTTAATGACTTCAAAATAAAATACTAAATGTATAATTTAAGAATAGTTTTTTTAAAAGAGATATATGATGGAGGACAAGAGTACGTTTAGGAACAGTGAAAATTTAGGTTTCAAAATGGGCAATGATTAGAACAATTAGGGTTCTGTTAAAGGCACATTGTGGTTTGTTTGGTCAGTCAGCACAGTGTCAATATCATTGCAGATTGCTTAAACTGTTCATACTTTTTCCCTTTAGGTATGTATCTGCTTCTTTTCTGTCTTGCATTCTGAATCAGCGCCCATGGTAATATAATTTAAGACACTTTTACCTAAAATAATATAATTTTTTTTATAAATTTATAACATTTTTTATAATTTAAAAGTTATACTGCGGGAGTTTAGGGCTTATAACAAAAAAATATATATAAATTTATAATATTTTCGATTTTAACCTACAATGTTATTTTGTCCAACCTAAAAAGTTATACTCTTAATAAAATTTCAATTACAACAGATTTTTATCATTTTTTACCTTATATTAATGGGTTGTATTTTAAAATTTTCTATCTTTTAACTTTTTTTTTTCTTGTAGAAAACCAACATTCATATTTTTATTAACATGAAGTCTCGTCATTGAATCAATAGTTTATCAATGAACTTTATTTTTCTTTTAAAGATTATCAATGAACTTTAAAACTTATGTCACTCGTACTTTTTAGGTATTAAACATATTATGTATTGAACTTTTGTAAAAAGAAATATAAACCTTGTCTTTATTAAGAAAAGTATATCAAGAGACGGACACGTGATTTTGTGTATCAATAGTTTATCTTGCTTTATGACTTAAATAATATCAATATAATTATATGACAAATTACATTATTATTGTGCCTAATATATATATATATATATATATATTCGACAAAATAAAAAATTTAAAGCATTATTATATTTTGACAGAAATATGTTGACTAAATAATATTAAACTTATGTTGATAAGAGATAATCAAAGATTTTTTTCATGAAAATGTTTAAAATTTTAAATGTTTTCTTTTTTAACGATTATATTTAATTATTTCATAGTTTATGATATTTTTATTTTTTTTAACTTTTAATAGTTGTTTTAGTTTTTAGTAGTTTTACATTTGTTTTCTTAACTATTTTAATATATTTTTAAAAATTTGAAATATTCTTTCAATTTTTTAAAGTTAATTAAATCTTCAAATTTTTAAAAAGAATCAATTAACCTTCTCTATTACATTATCCATAATAATATTTGATACTCGATACTTATGAATAATATAATGATGAAGCTACCTTAATAGTAGAGGAGCCTTGCCCCTTCCAAATGTTTATGTCAAATTATGTTTTAGGTCCCTCTTACTTTTGAAATTTAGAAAATTAAGCCATCTCTCAAATATTTTTTAGTCCAATTACTTTTAAGACCCCTCTTAATTTTGAAATTTAAAAAAAAAATAAGTCATGCAAACTATTTTTTTTGTTTACATACTTATTAGCCCTTGTTTATATTGAAGTCTGGTAAATTAAGATTGATCCTTAACTTTTTTTTATATATATATAAAACATGAAGCCGATTTAGTTACCGAGTTTCAGTAGCTTTTTGTAGCACCAAAGCTGCACTATCTCTTGGTGATTCATTGTAGACGGGTTCTCCAACGGATCGATCACGAATCATCTTGGCCAATATATTTGTCGTAATATTTATTTCTCTCGAAATATGCTTCGATCTCACCTCCCAATTTCTGCTCAACATGGTTTTAATATCAGCCACAGTAGCATTTTCCGACAAAGTGCATGATATGAGATTAAGAATCTTGGAAACTTCAAGATTATTTGTCTCTATATCCGAGCCACCAAGCATGCGATAACGCATCGCGAACCGATCATAATTTCGCTATCAACACGGAGCATATGCCGATGCTTCTACTGAACCCAAAATGCCAAGATCCTCGAAACACTTTCCCCGCAACAGCCACGTTTTTGCTTATACCAACGGCACCATCAACATTAATTTTAACCCATCCTACTTGCGGTTTTTGTCATAAGTTTCTATTTCTCACGTAGATACCAGATTGTTGTCGAGCTTCTCTGCTATTGACAATGTCGTTCATCATTCTTTGGCTTCTCAACTATTGAAAATCTGTTTTCGTTCTCCTGAAATTTTATAAGTTCACATCTCTTAAAATTTTATGAGTTCGCCCCTAATATAAAATTTTATGTTCACTGACTAAAATCCTTTTTTCCAATTGCTTTGCTCACGGTCTGATCGCTGAAGTCTTAGCAACGATGCCGTTATCTGGAAAATCATTTCCTTCAATTTTAAAAAAGTGCAAAGCAATAGGTAGCAAGCAATGTCAACCCTCATATGATTGCCAATTCATGAGCCATCTTAGACATAGCACAAGTAATAATGATGGAATGGTCTGGCAGATCACACGAGGGAATTGCAGAGAAAAATATCAAATTATAAAGTGGAGGAATGACCCTTTTCTAGTTCATTCTCTGAATTATTCAGAAACTTTTAATTTAATGGATGAGAACTATAGGATTGGAAGTTATCTTTGAACGGGTTTTTTTATATAAAAAAATTATAATATAATAGGAAAAAATGTTACATCTCATCTTCTAAAAAAAGACATCGATGTTTATCCTTTGAAAAAGAGGATAATTGCCATATCAATGGCATGAACCTAAATTTAAGACATTCTTAATAACCCATTCAAAAAATTCAATTCATTAAACATAATTTTAGTTGTTTAACAATTTTAAGGATATATGTTCAATAGCTTAAAATCAAATTAATTTTATAATATTTTAATAAAAATATTATAATATAAGTAGGTAAAAGTTTACTTACTATTTAATGTAAAGTATTTTCAACATTTTTTATTTAATTTTTTTTTTTAATAATTTTATTCTTTAAAATTTACATTTATCAAACAATAATTATATTCGACATTTAATTTTAATAAAAAAATGAAACAAATGTATTGTTTAAATTCAACACTTCATTTTTCAATATCTAATTTCTCAATGTTATTGTATGTTTGGACTAAATGTATTTGTATGAAAATATAATTGATCATGTTTGATGGTATAAATAATAATTACATAATTATATAAATTTAAATTTTAAAATAATATTAATTGTAAAATTAAGTAATATAATTATACATAAATTATTTTTATATTTTTAGAAATTAAAAAAGATACACCTAAACATTCTTAATAATTAAAGAGTGCAATAATTTATTTTTAACGATGACTTTTGATGAAAAAAGCAGCAGCACTTGGTTGCAAACATCAATAACGGAAACCGGTAGTTAAAAAAAATCATGGACCAATAATGGTGGTTTCTCCGGTGAGAATGAGAATCTCATGATTTCATTTTGAAGTCATGATCACGGTCAATTGAGAGTAAACTAATGGATATACTTGCTATTTTTATACCTAAACTTTATTTTTTTTTTCAAAACCATACATAACATTAGGTTTAGGTTTTAATTTGATACTCCTCCGTTGAAAACTTAATGCTGATGTTGATGTGTCACCATAAGTTTATGTCGCGTCATCATTGAAAAAATATAAAATGTCACGTTAGTAATTTTATTAATTTTTTAACGATGAGATATCAAATTGAAACATAAACTAAACATTAAATATGATTTTAAAAAACAATAAAGTTAAGGTATCAGAATGAAATAGTTTAGGTATTAAATCTATAATTTACCTTAAATTTTATTTGGTGACAAGTTAGCCGACTATAAAACATGTAAATTACATGTCGTTAACATATTTGGTGGGTTTCAGATTGGAAGCCATAAAAGCACCTTAAAAGTAGATTTTTTCAAAATATTAGTCAACAATGTTTGAAAAGCAATCCAAAATTATTTCAACTGATTCATGCAACTATTATTAAATGAAAATTAAAAATTTGCAAGGAGAATAATTAAAAAAAGGTACTGGGACTTTTTTTCATGTTCGTGATTGTTTAAAAAAACGAAACATGTCATGTTGATTTCACGTCCCATTGTTTAAAATGGGAATTTCTTTTTATCAAAGTGGGTACGGAAATAGTCTTTATAAGTAAAGAAAAGATGGCTAAAAAACCATATACGGTAAGTGTTCGAATGTGGGGGTGACTAGGACATCACTAAACCAATAAAAAGAAAAATAAAATGCATTTTCTTTGGTTTAAATTTTAGATTCATAGTATATAAATTAATTAAGAACTTTTGTCACGCGATCATTTATATTGAATCATTACATTAGTATCGTGAGTATACATGTTAGCATTATAAATTGTCGCATCAATACTATAATGATCAAGGATGATATCTTTCACACTCTAAATTTGTATGAGTCTAATGTGTAATACTGGGTCACCCAAACGATCACTATTATAATTTTTCCATTTAAAACATCGCAACGTGAATTCATCATAAATAAATTCATTAAGTTCATGAAATATTTAATTCGAGTTTGCAAATCCGAAGGTCTACATTCATAGTTTACAAAATAAATCCAAAATATCACAAGGGTTCATAGACTGAATGTAAATAAATATGATATGGATATAAATGTTTACTATAATTCTCAGAAATGTATTCTAAAGTAGATGTTGGAATCTTACGATGAAGGTGTGTAACACCCTAGTTATATCTATCTCGAATCTGAAAGATTGTAATACCATACGAAATCACCAAAGTGACTAATCATTTTTTTAAATCTTTCACCCAACTAAATTTTCAAAATAAATCCATAAATAGTAATAGGTTTACAAAATGGGGAGCTCCCGAAGAAATGTCTCAAAATACAATATGATGTATCAAATGGAGTTACGACTCAAATACATATTGTCAATGAATAATATATACCCTTTAAATAATATCCAAGACGTACTCTGATAACTTGATCAACTGAAATCATTAACCGATGATAAGCTCCTCAATCTCCACTTATGAACCTGCGCAAAGAAACACATTTTGAACGTTGAACTAACAAGCTTATGTCACACAAATAAATATATTATAATACAACATGAATAGTCATAAGCAATCAACAATGTATTATCAAATACAATTACAAGTAAGCATCATGATGTAGTTCAGGATCATCAAAGCATCACAAGATTCATACCCCTCTAGCCTACAAAATAAGTACTTTGTATGAGATTCGGGTCACATCTTGTCACACCCCAATTTACAAACTAATTTTTTCTTAATTTAAATTCTTGGATTAAATTAACATTTTAAAAATAGCAAAATGAAGGGATAGGGTGACACTGTTTATTTTGCTCTTAGGGTGTATCTTTCTTGACTGAGTTTTTGTTATTAGGAGGTGTTTTATACCCATTACACTTATTATGGATAGTAATAAAAGATTCATCCCTTTTGTTAGGAGGTGTTTATTTTGCCAAATGATTATACTTGCATGCAAAAACTCATTAGTTTTATGCATTTTAAATGAGTTATATATATATATTAAATTATTTTTTTTAAAAAAGTAAGTGAGATAACACTTCAAAGTCTAAAAATCAAAGATTTTGGAAAGATACACCCCACAATGAACAATTAGAAAATCGATTTGAAAAGTTAAGAATAAAGTAGTGTATCATTGCCTAGCTACCTCTAATGACTCCACTTTCAATGATATTAAAAGTATGCCCAACAAGAGTTAATATATTCCTTGACTATTCTAAACAATCTAAAATATTACAATTGTAATATTTCTAACATTTAAAATTAAATCAAAAAATAAATTCTTGAGATTTGTTAAGAGATAAAAAGTACAATTAACAAATGGTAATGCATATATTTATGAAGTTATATATATTATATTCAGTAAAGTACACCATATGTCATTAAATTATGTTCAAATAATCATTTTATTTATTAAAATTTTAAAAATATAATAATTTTATTAAATTTATCAAAATATTAGAAATTAAATTTGATCAAACTTATTAAAAAATGACTATTAAATTTTATCAAAATGTTTTAAAAATTTACTAGATTTATGAAACTTTTACAGTTAGTATAACGATACAATAATTATTTTATAATAATTCGATAAATTTAATGATTATTTTATAATTTTTGAAAATATAGTGATTAAAAGAATCATTTAAGTATAGTTTAATGACCTATCATATAATTTATCATAATATATTTCACTACACTTACGAAGTGAGTGGAAGAAAATAGTTTATATAACGTATATAGAAGTTTATTTTTTTTTTGTATCTTTTATGTTTATTTTACGACTCATGTTTATAGTTTGTAACTCATCGTGTGAAATAATTTATTTATGGGTACATTTATCAATTTCGTATTCAATTATTTAGTAGTGGTTTTTAAATATTTTGTTTGTTAAAAGTATTAAAAATAATAACACCATTAATACTAGTCATCATTTATAAACGAGATATTTTGTTTTTCTTTCAATTGAATTAGCATTCAATTAACTAGTGGCATTAATTCAAATAAAGAGGTGTACATATACAGGTTTAGCTCAATATTTGTATAAATAATTATTTTGTCATATATATTTTTTATAGGATTTTAGTTCTAATGCTATAATTTTTGGTTAAAACAAACATTGTTGGATGAAAATCGTTAGTTGACTAACATCAACACAAATTACCGACGTTGTATTTTCACATATATTTAATTGTTGAAATGATATGCATCATGTCACCCAAATTGCTTACGTATCATGTGTCATGTCATCAAAAGTGATTGAACACATTTGAAAATACACGTCAACAATATGTATTGACCGTTAGACAACTAACAAGGATCACTTATACTATGTAAAACTCTTTTAGTTTTACATAAATTTGAGACCATTTGATGAGTGAAAATAAATGGTTGAGATTAACTAATTGTTATTTTTAGTGAATATCTTCTCATTTCCTAAAGTTAATCTTAATCATCTATTTTCACTCATACAATAATCATAAATATGTGTAAAACTAAAATAATTTTAACAATATAATATAATATAATATTATCCTGTAAATATACAAAGGTTGGAAACTTATCTCCCTTCCATTAATGTCTTCATAAATATTACCAAAAATGATTGTCATCTAGAGTAACAAGCGGGTAATCATAAGTATTGATAATTTCATTTTAATGATGACGGCCACGGATATATCAAAGGGATTGGTAGGGATAGTATTTTTTAAAAAATTTTAAATTAATATATATTTAGATATTTTTTATATTTTTAATTAATAATATATTTTTGTTATTTAAAATTTTATAATTTCGTTTCTTTTTAAAATTTTAAAAATTCGTCTCTCTAATATAAGATTCATCGTCCGTTGCGATTATGTTTATGCGGATCTCAATGAAAGCCCTGAATAAGAGAATTTGGTTGTTGATGCAATATTTCCTAAAGATGAGCACAAGGAATGGCCACTTTCAGCAATCAACTGCCTTGCCTCTTTGTTTCCAACCACAACGATTGCTCCTATATAATTTTACAGATTTTGGGATGGGGTTTTCGAACGGCTTCCGCTGAGGCGAGGGACCTTGAAAGTGCAGGAAACGAAGCCAGGTTCCACTCTGTCCACATGCATGTCAGTCAAGTAAGGTGAAATCTTCATAGAAGCTGCTTCTAAAGCCGATCAGAGCCGGCTAATAGGGAATTGCATTTTGAATGATTGTCAGGGCCTTCGTTCTCTACCTTTATAATTAAAATCCTTAATTTTTATAATTAACTTTTTATTTTTATTTTCACGAACTAAATATCTTAATGATTGAGAGATTTTCTCAAGGTCATGAATTTGAGCATCGCAGTTGCAGATGTCAAAGATATGGATATTAATTGTTAAATGATTGAGTCTTTGAATATATACTATATTTTATTTAAAAATAATTTTTATCTTTATAATTTAGATCATATATTTTTTCAATATCACTTTCTACTTTTATAATCGAGACCTCTAATTTTTTTTTTTAATTTTATAAAGTTCTCAATTTCTAATCCCTTGATTCATCTATCTCATTAATTCATTTAATTTCGAATTAATAACAACCGATTAATTATTAGTTTTTTAAAGTCGAATATTTACTTTATGACTTCTTCATAATAAATACTCAACAAAAATGCATCCTGATAAAACTATTTTTGTATTTTAACTTTAATTTAATTAGTATTAACTTTAACGCCTACTAACTAAAAAAAACCTTATTTGTAGCAGTTTTAAGATTTATAAGTAAGAGTTAACCATATTTAAAAATATTTTTAATCAAAATTCATATTTTATACTTGTATATTTAAATAAAAACAAAATTTAATTATTAAATAAATTTTCAATTAATCCGAGTAATCTAAATTTAAATGTTTTATATACAAAATCAGATAAACTACTTTGCATTTTCTAAAAGTTTATTAAATTATACTAATGGTTCATTTTATCTTCCTAATTGCTTTCGGAAGTTAAACTAATTTGCATTTTCTACAAATTATCTTTTCTATTTTCCAATTTTAAGATATTTATTACCATATCATGGTTTAATTTTGGTAAGGGGTTATGCCCAAAATTTATTCTTTAATTTTTTAAAAAATAGAAAATGTACAAAACTTAGAAGGTATTAACATAATTGTATTTTTTTTCAATACAGTCTCTAAGAAATGCCAACTCAGCTTACTTCAAAAACATGATCATATTTAATGCAAAATCCTTGTATGAACTTATATTTAGTATGTAATATTAATGTAGATGTATTACCTAAATATATATTTTATATTTAATGATGTATTTGTATTAATTTTTTTTTAATTTTAATATTTAACATATTGATTGACTAATTTGAATCGGGTATCGCGGAAGCTTATTATGTGATGACCCTTCTAATCTTATTTTTTTTAGTAGTCTGGAGTTAGTCTATGTTCATAATATCTCTTAGCTATTGACAACACACACCATACAAATATAATTGTTTGAACCCGAGACTTCTGAAGAGAATAACACTCCCTTTAACTACTGATATTATTTGATGGGTTCTCCAACCCTGTTTATTTTATTGACAACATTAAGTTTGAATTCTTAACTTTACTTAAGATATTTAATACCTTATCCACTAAATTAACTGATTGCTAGTGTATTATATTTTATTTGATATTCTCAAGGATGGAATTACTTTTTAAAAAAGTTTCATTATATATATATATATAATATAAATTTATTTAAAATTATCACTAGTAAAAGAATATTGAATAATTTACACTACAATCTAAATTAATTTACACAAATGCTAAAATTTAAAGGGGAAAAAACATGAACAAATTAGTTTACACAAATGCCCAAAGCATATAGTTTTTCACTTATATAAATTGGACGAATGGTCCTTAACATTTCCCACCATTTTCATAAGAGTTGTTCAGCCAAATTTCCTATACTCTCCATGGATAGCTCAGTTGCTCCGGTCACCATCGACAATGACCATCGAAAGCCCTTCAAAGGAGGATGGAACGCCGCCGTTTTCGTCATCTGTAAGCAAATCTTTTCTCCCCTTTTTGTTTTACTTTTCATGGATTCAATCTCGGGTCTTTGTTCGACAAGTGTTTGACGAAATTGTCATCGTTGATTGATGCAGTTGTGGAGATGGCCGAGCGATTTGCTTTCTATGGTTTGGCTGGAAACCTGATCACATATCTCACCAACATTCTCGGCGAACCGGTGGCCACCGCAGCCAAGAACGTGAACACGTGGGTCGGCGTCTCCGCCATCTTCCCTTTGCTGGGAGCGTTCGTCGCCGATTCGTTCCTTGGCCGCTTCAAGACCATCCTGGCATCCTCTTTGATCTACTTCTTGGTATAACATATATCAATATCGGTAGTGTTGCGTTTATCGCGATTCCTAATGTGTTTTTTAAGTTTCTTTTTTTTTTTTGGTGTTGTAGGGATTGGTGTTGTTGAGTTTATCAGTGTCCGTAGTCCCTATGCATTCTCGCAAAGCAGTGTTTTTCACTGCGCTCTACGTATTAGCCATAGGAGAAGGAGGCCATATGCCATGCGTTCAGACCTTCGCAGCTGATCAATTCGATGAGAATAATCCCCAAGAAAGAGCTGCCAAAAGCTCATTCTTCAACTGGTGGTACCTTTCGATCGTTACAGGAGCCTCTGTCGCCATTGTTGTCGTCATTTATCTCCAGGTGAAATCAAACTACCTTCACTTTTGTTTTACTTTTCATAATAGCTGCTAATCAGGGTTTAATTCATATGATTCTCTTCAAAGGTCAAATTCTGGTTTTAATCCTTCTTCGATGCTCAAATTTAAGAACCAGTCTCTATACTCTAATTTTACTATTTAATAATATAATTAGTTATGACAATTAATTAGTCTAGTGGGATAAGATATTAGATCCCTTAAGTAAAATTAAGAGTTTAAATCTTGTGAATAGAATAAACTCAGATTAGTCAATTAATGAATCAAATACCTGTGATTATAAAAAATATAATTCATTAATTTATTACTATGGTTGAATTGTTGACGTAGATTTTTAAAAAAAAATATTCCTTGCAACCTATCATGTAGCTTTTTGTGTTGAATATGTCCTTATAAGAACAGTCCTCGTTAACATTTGAAAAACCAACGATATTATAGAGATAGAAGATTAAATTCTATATAATTAAAGTATCAGACTTAAATCTTGAATTTGAACATAAAAGCATACCAAAATTGTAATTTTACCTATAAAAGGTGACGTTTATTCAATTTGAAGTTCAAATGTAATCCTCCACACTCCTTTTTCTTGCTTTTTAGCCACAACTTTTGCATTAAAAGATAATGATAATTTTAACGTATAAGTCAGATCATTTTCACTTTCATTCGGATTCTTTTATAATTGCACGAAGAAAGCGACCTCAGTTATTAAGAGACTTGTTATTATCTCTTGAAATCTGGATTCGAGCATTTCGTGTACATGGATATGTGCGTTCATTGTCAAATAGTTAAAAGTTTTTAAACATATACTACCTCATATCTCTAAATTTATATAAAAAACCATTTCTATTATAATTAATTCGGATTTAATTCTATTGAATCCTACGATTAAAAATTTAAAATTGGAATAACACATTTTGAAACCTTTTCTTTTATTTATAAATTTTAATGTGAAGGTGATGTTTGATGTCGTGTAGGATAATGTTAGTTGGGCAGCAGGATTTGGGGTGTTAGCAGGGACATTGGCGCTGGCCTTGGTAGTGTTTTTAATCGGAATCAAGAGGTACCGAAAGCAGCGGCCGACGGGGAGTCCCTTCACCACGATGGCTCAGGTCTTGGTCGCTGCCGCAAAGAAGTGGCGCGTGAATGAAACCCTCGGTGGCAGGGGGATATGTTATGATGATGATAGAGTAAGTGGGAGCAACACCAATTGTCAAACCAGGAGCCACAATTTAGCCCGTACCGAACAGTTAAGGTAAATGTCTTATAAAAATCATATAAGAGAGTTCATTGCACCACAAATACTCAAATTACAAACATTATTGTAAATCAGTCCCTAAATTTTTCAATATTCCAATTTCATCCTTAAACTATGACTCTCATTCTAACTTGATCCTCAAACTTTTGAATGTTCTAAGTTCATCTTCTAACTATGACTCTCATTCTAAATTTGTCCCCACACTTTTGAACTTCCTAATAACATCTCCAAAAATCATTCAAAAGTTTTGGGGAAGAAATTGGAATATTTAAAAGTTTAAGGGCCAATAGGATCGTAGTTTGTGGATGAATTTAGAATGTTTAAAAGTTTGGGGACCAATTTAGAATGAGAGTCATAGTTTGAAGATGAAATTAGAATATTTAGAAGTTTAAAGACTAATTTAGAATAAAAACCATAATTTGAGGACGCATGGTGCAATTAACTCATAAAACAATAAAAAAATATACCAACAACGATCCAAATATAAAATTATTATATTTTGAAAAATAATTGTTAACTTTAAATTAAAAGAAATCATAATAAATTATTAAATAATAATAATAACAAAGTTGGCAATGCTTGAATTTTAGAAGCAAGAGAAACATCAAATTCAAATAAAATTTTTCTCCTTGAAGTTTGGTTAAAATTAGTGTATCTATATAAAAAGGTTTATTAAAAAGAATAAATGTATGATGCATGTATAATTTGCTATTTAGAGCATATTAAAGGTTTAGCTTAAGAAATGTATTTATTATATTTGTTATAGTTACCATTTATAATATTTTAATTAATTGTACTTATCAAATGGGTGATGTATAGGATGAATGTAAAAGATAAAGAATCTTAAGAAGCAAACAGTCTTTAAGTTTAGTCCCCAAATATAGAATGTTAAGTTTTATTTTTGAATAATCTTGTGTGATTATAAGGTAGTATCTCATTGATAGTGCATACACTTTGCTCGAACTCAAGACCTAAAAAATAACACTCTCTTTAATCACTGAGACCACTCAATGGGTTCAAAATGTTAATGTTTTTATTTAATAATCTAAGGTGATTACAAGTGGTAGCATATGCTCTAAAGATTCAACCATTTAATACTAAACGTTCAAATACCCTGCAGTTGGTTAACTTTTGAGTCATAAATTATATTAATAAACAATCTCATAAAAAAAAAGTAATTTTATAATCGAATTAAAAAAATCTCAAGTCTCTATTGAAGTTCGAATCATTTATGATATTACTTGAAACTGCAGATTTTTGGACAAGGCAATGATCATTGACAACAAAGACGCCTTGAGGAAAACCAAGGATCCATGGCGGCTTTGTTCATTGAACCAAGTTGAAAAAGTTAAGCTTGTACTTCGCCTCATCCCTATATGGCTTGCATGCTTGATGTTCAGTGCCGTCATAGCTCAAATGCACACATTTTTCACCAAGCAAGGTACCACCATGTCGCGATCGATAGGTCCCGATTTCCAAGTTCCTCCCGCAGCACTCCAAAGTCTCGTTGGCCTCACAATCCTCATTGTCGTCCCGGTTTATGATAGGGTTTTCATTCCCATCGCTCGAAAAGTAACCGGACATCCCCGCGGAATTACAATGCTACAAAGAATCGGTACCGGTCTATTCGTTTCCATATTGAACATGTTTGTTGCAGGCCTAGTAGAGACGGCTAGGGTGAACACCGCAAGCAAACACGGCCTACTCGACACCCCGAAAGCCATAGTCCCGATGAGCGTATGGTGGTTGGTTCCACAATACGTACTCACAGGAATTGGAGACGCCTTCACGGTCGTCGGATTACAAGAGCTGTTCTACGATCAAATGCCGGAAGAAATGAGAAGCATCGGGGCAGCAGCATATATAAGTGTAGTGGGAATTGGGAGCTTCGTAAACACAGCTATAATCTCAGTTGTGCAAGCCATCACTTCAAAGCATGGGCATGCATGGCTGGGAAATAATCTCAACCGTTCAAATCTGAATTACTTTTATTGGGTATTGGCAGGGTTGAGTGGGGTTAATTTGTGTGTTTATATGTGGATTACTAAGAGTTTTGTGTATAAAAAAGTTGAAAACAACGATCAACCAATTAGTACAGGAGGGTATTCGGAGGAAAAAGTATGAAATATGGGGCTATTTGGATGTCAATATCCATGTTTACAACTTAGCTATATTATCTTTTTTCGGAAGTACAATTTTAAAAGTTTAAATGCAAAATAAGTTCAATTTTTAATTTTATTTTATAATGGAGTACATAGTCAAGAAATGTTGATATGATTTAAAATTAAAGCATTCGGTCGGTTTGATGGGTTTAATTTATATATACCTTGCTTATTTTGGTCATTTTACCTATAATTGATTTGCAAAAATCTCTGCCCGACCTCTAGTTCTACATCAAAAGCTACATTCCTTTAATTTTTCATCTAAGCATTTTGGTTTAATTTTTGGTTTTTTTCACGTATTCAACTATGTTGTTGGTATTTTTTTTCATTAGTTAAATGTATTCAATATTTGTGTCTGACACTTGAATATGAGAATATAATTTACAAAAATCTTTCGAACACATAAAAAAATAATTAAAATCTAATCATATCTGTGTCGGATACATACCCGTGTAAGGAAAAAACACACTCTCAGCTTATAGTTTGCAGCATTCAAATGCTTGACAATAGTTTCTTTTTCATCAGGTTACATCTATTGAGCTCTTTCTCCATTAGAATTCCTTTGTAATTTAAACCGAATTGTAATATCTTTTGCAGTGGAAAATTCCAGAACTGTGTTCATTTTGTTTTCATAAGGTTATGGAACCATTCATCTTAATCCAAATTCAAAATCTGTGTTGGAAAATGTAATATGGTTGATGAACTGATCAATGCCTGTGATTGTTTATATAACCGTATTATATGAACGGTGCCATATTTAAGCTTTTTTTGTCACCATAATTAAAGAAGAAAATAAATCAGCCAATGCTCCATTAATTAAACTCCCTTAAGAACATATATATGACATTGAAACATTAAAGAAGCCTATTCAAGGAATGTGCAAAATAATATACATTAAAGAAGCTATTAAGTTGCAAAAGCGTCTCTTTGGGAGATGGAAACTTGGAATTAATATGGGCAAATAACCACAATTTGCTTGGGAAACATATATACATGCATTTCTAAAAATATAATGAAAATCCATCAGTTCATAACATAATAATTTTGAACAAATTATGTCATATATAAACGTGGAGTAATTCGTGCATTGTTTATCTCTAGATAACTACTAGAATTCCATGCAAATTCATTGCATTTGCTCCCATCTGTTCAGGTATCCATGCTTCGTTTATTAGCTTAATTAATTCCCTACATAACTATTCAGATTCCTTGTAAATCCCCAACTCCTTTTAATCATTTTAAACAAATTATCTCATATGTAAGTATATTAATTTAAAATTTGATGATTAAACTATCTTATTGATCACTAAATTGTAGGGTTGATTCTATTTTGATTACCAAAGAAGTAAAACTCATCGATTAGGTCACTAAAATTTTATTATGAGTTCAATCGTGTAACGTGTTGATAAATCAATAATTATGATGTTGATGTGATTGTTTTAAAATATTATCCTCATCTTAACACTCAATGTTTCTAAATAGTTTCAATTAATTTAGTGTAAAATCAAAAAGAATAATAAATTGAAAATTAATTTAGGATAATCCTCTATTCCACCAGGTCCTCAAGAGATATTAACAAAAGACAAGTAGTGTATCTACGTCCTCATTAATCTTCATCTTTAGTAAAATCTACGTTAGTTTCCCAGTGTCCTTGAAGGGCTACACTTTTCTGCAATCTCTAATGTCTATAGGATACTCCACACCAAACATATCACTACCAATCATAAGTCTATTAGTACTATTTCTTTAGAGGTAGTGATAGAAAACATTTTGGATATAGATTATCTACTAAACGTTTAATCACCCTCTTTTCTTCAATTAAGTGAATTACTTTTATTTCATATTTTCTAAATTAGTAACAGACACCGTCATCCATTCACCAGGTATGCTCTATCGAATGGGAAAATTTAAACTATCGGGTAACTTCTGAGCCACCCTAATGAACTTCGAACGATTCGGGTTCAGTCGTCGCCCGCTGGTCCAACTAGCGATAGGCTCCCCAATTTTGAACCCCTTCTCAGTCCTCTGCGTAAAACATAAAAGACCCGTGCAACCCTGCTAAGTCATATTATTGAGAGAGAAAAGACTACACAACACATGAACCGATGGAACCCATTTCTTCTCTCGACCAGGAGGTTCCGACCAATTGACTCAACATTATCCCATAGTAATCCAGAACCTCACTCACAAAGTTGAGTATGGGAAAATGAAACTCAATCTCTAAAACAAAAAGAGGAAGGTTAAACCACATCAGATTCTCACTGACACCATTTTTATATCCACTCATACGATGTGAATCAGAATTAATACTAAATTCAAACTCATAGTTTTCTCTCAACACTCTTTTGCTTAGTAGTAGATTTTTGGCCTCGAGCCGACAAGTTGTGCATTCAAAAGTATTGTCATTCCTCAATTTTCTCATTTCTCTTTTTCACATGATTCAGAATACTTTTTTTGATATCATGACAACAAACTCAAATGAAAATCAAAAGCAATTTCACAGAGAGAAAACAACAACATATAAGAGGAATTACGACCGTTACATGAGATCCTGCTTATACATTTGGCCGAAACAATACGTCCCCAAAAGTCAAAATAGGATGTCATCCCACCACACTAAGCACAAGGCAACACATGTTTAAGAACTTGAGTCGTTCAAGACACAAACATCACAATGTTTCCTAAATTATCCTAATAAATGCTAATAATGATCAATTAGTCAAGTCTTGGGTCAAGTCACTTTATGACATTCCATTGATTAAAGGGTGCAAATGTTATTCCTCTACTAAAACGACCTTTGTGTGTCATCTACGCACCTATTACTAAAAGCCTCTAAAGAAAATAACCTCTTCGTAGGTAGAATCTCGAAAAAAATACCTCCGGAAAGAGAACCTCAAGAACTTTAGAAAGACATAGGAAGAATGTCTTCGGAAGAAAGATCTCGAATATCTAACAACCATCGAGAAGCCGCGATTTATTGACAAGACCTTTGATAGGCCCACGTGACCTACCATAATTAAATCTATTGTCAGCTAATCGTACCCACTTAACCTGTCAGCTTACAAGTAGCCATAATGACCCCACACCTAACACCAGCTCTCGATCAAGACCGTGAGAAGAAAGGAATCCAAATTGAACCACCTATCCATCATTCATCTCTACTACCTCCTTGCGGAAACAAAATACCTTAACACTAGCCAATAACCAATCCACCACTAATTTCGACTCTCTACCCAAACTAGAAATGATAAACCGCTTATAATCTTCTTAACCTAGTTGTTCCGGTCAATAAAGTTAAATTTCTTTCAAGCTCAAATCATATATTTTTTAAATAACTTTTTTCAATCATAGTTCAACTTAAATATTATTTTATCAATCATGTATTGAAGTTTAGAACTATCATATTAGTTGGTTTGATTGAATCCAAAATGGAAGTTTAGTTACCTAACTGACAAAAAAATTATATAATGGTTATCAATCTCATAATTTAATTACAAATATAGTAGTTATTCATGACAAAGGGAAAAAACTCAAAAGAAATGGAATTGAGGGACAAAGCGATGTCAGCTCTGGAATCAAGTTATTATAGTAATGGACCTTCAAGACACCTTAATTAATTTCATTTCCATAATCATAAGTCCTATATTTTTGAACTTTTATGACTCGTAACATACAAAGTTATAGAGGTGTATTGTATCTCAAATTGAAAGCCATGCATCATCATACAATAACTCAGAAGGTTAAAGCAGGAGTTATGAAGACCCGTAAGGCATTCTATGTAAGCCCATTTTTTACTAGTCGAAACTCGTATACCAAATTCTGGATTTTCAGTTTTAAGTAATAATCATATCATATGAACAGTGCAATATTGAAGCTTTTTTGCCACCATATTTAGAGAAGAAAACAAATCAGCCAATGCACCATTAATTAAACTCCATTAAAAACATGTATAAAAGCTTAATAATACTTGAAAAGAAGAAGCTTTTAATGACATTGAAACATTAAAGACTGAAACAAACACAAGAATCAACCAGTAATCTGCTCGAAATTTGCATCGATGATATCACCGTCTTCCATACTCAAATCATTGGGAGTTTTGCGAGACTTTATACAAGAACCATCAAAATAGAACCTCATATATTCCAAAACCCCACCAGTTCGTTCGCAGTAATCACGCATCAGATAACGCAGCTTCGTGTCCCGCCCCATCCAATAGCTAAAATTTTCAGCTTGAGTTTGTCCTTGCACTTTCACAACAATAGGGTCACCCGAGACAAACTTATCAATGTTGTCGATTTGGTTGCTGCTCTCACTGTTTCCCTTTTATCCATCTCTCGAGTTGCAACTAAGGATTTCTTTCACAATGATCAGACTCAAACTCCCAACATCTACACTTTATATACCACTTTCTACATAAGAACAAATAAATAAATGCTAAAGAGTTGTTTCATGAACCGAAAAGATTAAGTGCTAATAATTAGATGTTGAATTTATCATATATCTGTTTAATTTTTTATTTAAAATTAAATATTTTCCTTGGGAACATATATATACATTCATTGCATTTGCACCCATCAGTTCAGATATTCATGCATTGTTTATTAGCTTAATTATTATCTACATAACTATTCGAATTCCTTGTAAATTCTCAACTTCTTTTCTTTTGTATTAATAATAATTTTAAACGAATTATCTCATATATACCATGTGCGAAATATATCAGTAAATAGAAGTGAATCCACAACTTTTTATCTGTACATGGGGCACCATCGAGGGGTTTACAGCTCCCACGGCGTCATAAAATAATACACTTTACTTGCTTTCTTTATTAGTTATTTTTTCACGTTTAAAGGTGATGGATAGGCTAAGCCAAAGCTGATGAATCCAAAAGAGCATATGTATATGGTCGTTGGGTAAATAATACACTTTTCTTTACTTTTCTTGCTTTATTTATTATGCCTTTAGTTCCGAGGATCGTATCATAAGATTTAC